GTCATCCTTCATATCAACTCTGTTCACTTTAAGTATATGATAGCAAAAATCGAGGGCCTCAAATCTTCGCTGTTGGCCGAGCAACACAATCAGGGCACAACCGGCCCAATTCAAACCTTCACCATATAATTCTCTGAAAAATAGTAAAAGAAACAAATGAAAACTTTCTGTATTTATTTATTTTAGACAGTAAAACTAGTTGAATCAGAGTTACGTTCAACTTTAAGAATGGCCTTATAAAGTGGGGGGGTAAAAAAAAAAAAAAAAGGCTGAAAATGAAGATAAATTCTAGAGAAAGTATCAAATAGGATTGATGTTTTGCTAATGTTTTGCTTCTTGAGGGGAATTTAAATGTACCAGACAGCTCAAAAGCAAAAATTCTTTCATGTGCCACTGCCAAATTGTACAACACAACAATGTAAAAGTAGATAATGAAATCAGAAACATTGAGAAAAATAACCAAAAATTGTGCAATTTCCCAAAGCAACAGTATAGGTTTGGAGATTTATATATATATATATAGATATATATATATATTATAGGGAAAAAGTGTAGGGCTATCCTCTGGACTTTGAAGAATTGCCTAAAAATTGAAAGTTGTATGACTTCCCCAAAACTATTTTATTAGCTCACTTCAGGACAGAGGGACTTTTCTCTTCCTGAAGGGTTTTATCATATATTCCATAATAATTGAATTAACCAATTACTATCTGTCTACATTTCTGAGATGAGATATTGTAATTATTTACATTGTTTGAAGTGTTCTCATCTTTGTTGCCATATTCATGTTATAAAGGCTGGAGCCTACAACAGCTGAAATGCTGTGAATATGGCAACAAATACATGGACAACAGTCTGAACAATGTAAATATTATAAATAACCAAAGATTTTCCTTGAAACTTTAGCTCTTTTGTCTAATCTACCTTAGTGGATAATGTTAATATTAGGGGAAAAATTTCTAAAATAATTTCATTCATTTGTGATCAAATTTTGAAAATTTTATTGAAATCTGATAATTTATATTGTAATCAATTTTTTTGAATACAGCCAGTATATTCAAACACTCGGTCATGATGACTTGTGACTTTGTGCTAGCACAATCATCGACTGCTCCCAAATAGTTCAGTCTACCTAATTTTATTCATAGGGCTTGGGTCAACCCATAGCAAGCAGTTTCCAAATGTGCCGCATACTGGAATCACCTCCCTGGGCCAATAATATAAAGAAGTCACCTTCCTGACAAATCAACTATAGTGCGATTCAAAGCCTGGCCTACTGGTCAGAAAGCAAACATCCTAACCCTTCAGCTATGTACAGTATTTACATTAGTCGGACTATTGTCCTCATCTTTGTCGCCATATTTGTCACAACGCCGCCTTTTGTACGCCCGCCTTCTTCAGGTGGTTGGAATTTCGAACTGAACCCTTTATTTCATCACCGGGTAGACTGTTCTAATTCCACGCGCCATGTTTGATGGATGTCAGTTATCAGTTATCTTCTGCTAATTTTCCCCTCTGAAAGTTCTCCACTGCCTTAACCAGGAATTGAACTTTGGGGTCTGTCACTGATCTAACCAACGCCTTTATCCACTGTGCCATGTGTCCTTGAGGACATCTGGGTATGAACTTGAGTATTATAAACCTAATGTTTTCAGCATCATTTTTACCAGTGCTCATATTGCAATTTTTGCTGTTAACATTGCATGTCTTTACCAGAGTTCATATTGCAACTTTGTTATCATTGCTTTTCTCTGGCACTCCTTATTACTGGTTCCCATATTGTATTTATTTCTATGCTTGGTCGGCTCAGGAGATTTTTGTGGCCTAGCATATGTGCTGTACATAATACCTCATCTCAGAAATATAGACAAACTCTGAAGGATCGGTACGGACCCGATATACCAAAAATATGGAGACACATTGAGAAATCCTACCAAAAACTAGCACGAATATCGAACAATCTGACATTCCTACACCGATGCAGAGACCTACAACTCATCCCTTCAGGCTTGGCACCAAGACTTCCTATCAATTCAAGGAGAGCCGTCACCGGTCAGAGAGAAAGCGGACACGCCCTTGTCCGAGAGAGAATCCAGTACAACCGTTGGATGAAAACATCGAGTACATGCTCATATCTCCCAGACGCCGAGGATCTCTTCAACAGAATTACCAATGAAGAAGACCAGAGAAGGATCCAAAATGACCTGGATAAATCCTTCAGACATGAATTTGATGTAGTCAAGGCTCCGCCAGGTGCAAAAATTAAATAGATTGAAAGATCAGAAGGTGACACACAAGGTCCATCACCCACCAGTGAAAGCAGTAGTCAACATCAGCCAATATCAGCTGAGTGCCCTGAGGAGTCAGTATTGAATAAGGGTCTCAACTTCACACAACCATCAGGCGGGTGCCATACTTGGACATCATTGCCAGAGTAGAGGAGGTGGCCTTGAACATCCCTCAGGCTCAGGCGGATGAAATGAGATGGAAAGTGAGACAGGCCTTGAGAGAGCCAAGCTGCCCAGGTCTAACATAACAAAACTGGAGAGACTGGCGATTGAATCACTACAGAGGAATGAGAACATCATCATACTACCGCTGACAAAGGTAATGCGACTGTAGTGATGGACAAATCGGACTATACAAGAAAACTGGAAGACCTCATTAGCAATGGTAGCTACAGCATAGTGAAGAAAGATCCCACTATGAAAACGGAACGCAAACTGTCACAGATCCTAATCAAGAACAAGGATCACTTCGCACCCAAGACGATAGGCAGTTATCACAGCGTTACAGCAAGTTACCTCACATATAACGGTCTCCCTAAGATTCACAAGGACGGTATTCCACTCAGGCCGATTGTTAGCTGCTAAGGCTCTGTGTGCCACCCTCTGAGTCGCCTTGTAGATATAATTGACCCATTGATCGGAAAGTCTCCTTCATATGTCCAAAACTCCGCCCCACTTCGTGGAAATAATCAAAGATGCTCCCATCTTATCCAACCAGATGGTGAGCTTGGACGCAGTGAGTCTGTTCACCAAGGTACCCACGGAGGAGGCACTCTCAGTAGTCAGAGATAGATTAACCTCTGACTCTTCCCTAGAGGAGCGGACCAGTATTCCAATAGATAATCTGATGGAGATGTTGACTTTCTGTACACAAACAACACACTTCGGAATGGGATCTCACATATATCGACAGGATGAGGGCTTAGCAATGGGCTCGCCATTATCACCAGCAATGGCGAATATATACATGGAATACTTTGAAGGCATTAGAGTCTATATCGCTAAAGCCAACTATATGGTTACGGCACGAGATGACACTTTCATACTCTGGCCACATCAGGAAGAAGTCCAGGTTCTCCTGGACCATGTGAACTCAATAAGACCTTCGATACAGTTCACAATGGAGAAAGAGAGTAACAACTCACTCCCATTCCTGGATGTACTAATATCTCGAACAGAGAATGGGTTCAAGACATCTGTATACCGTAAACCAACATTCACCGACAGTACCTCAATTTCAACTCCCACCATCCATACAGCGTAAAGAAAGGGATCGTCCGATGCTTACAACACCGAGCAAAAGTCATAAGTGGCGATCCAGAGACGTTAGATAAGGAATTGGTCAGTATAAGTAGTACCCTACAACGCAACAACTACCCTGGGTACATGGCAGCAGCCCCCAAAAAAACTGGGATAGGCGGGTACAAGAGGAGGAGGAGGAGGACAACAACAACACTCAGAAAACAGTCTGCCTGCCTTATGTGAAGGGGGTTATCAGAGAAAATACAAAGGATCTGCGGTCCATATAACATCAGGACAACCTTCAAAAGCGTGACAACACTTCGCAGGTATCTCTCACGAAAGTGAGACCCCCATAGAGAGGAACATGACTAAAGACTGTGTGTACGCTTATCCCATGCAGCTTTAGGAAAGGAATATAAAGGAGAGACAGGCCCCCCCAAGGTAAGGCTTCAAGAACACCAGAAAGCTGTAATGCGAGGGGAAGTAGAAAATCAGGCGGGCTGACCACATATGGAGAGAAAAGGGAGATCACCGCCCTGTGGGATCATGTTGAGATCATAGACAGGGAACACCATTGGAAAATTCAGAACTTAAGGAATCAGCACATATGCTAGGCCACAAAAATCTCCTGAGCCGACCAAGCATAGAAATAAATACAATATGGGAACCAGTAATAAGGAGTGCCAGAGAAAAGCAATGATAACAAAGTTGCAATATGAACTCTGGTAAAGACATGCAATGATAACAGCAAAAATTGCAATATGAGCACTGGTAAAAATGATTCTGAAAACATTAGGTTTATAATACTCAGAAGTTCATACCCAGATGCCCTCAAGGACACATGGCACAGTGGATAAAGGCGTTGGTTAGATCCAGTGACAGACCCAAAGAAGGTGAGTTCAATTCCTGGTTAAGGCAGTGGAGAACTTTCAGAGGGAAAATTAGCAGGAGATAACTGATAACTGACATCCATCAAACATGGCACGTGGAATTAGAACAAATAAAGGGTTCAGTTCGAAATTCCAACCACCTGAAGAAGGCCGGAGCGTACAACGGCCGAAACGTTGTGACAAATATGGCGACAAAGATGAGGACAATAGTCCGACTAATGTAAATACTGTACATAATACCTCATCTCAGAAATATAGACAAACCCTTCAGCTATGTGTCCATATAATTTTTTGATTTCATTACCCACGAACTAACTTTTTTTTTTAACAGTTTTCATTTTTGAATGACAAGCACCCATTTAATAATAATAATAATAATGTTGCCCAAAGGTAACCTGCAAACTAGTCATTCAACTGTACAGGTTGAGTATCCTTTATCTGAAAACCTCCAAAATCATGACTTGCCACAAATGGAAAATTTCAGAAAGCACTTGGAAGGTTCCTAGGTGATAATGTAGCTGTTGTAAACTGACCCTCATCTGCCCTGGGTGGGGAGTTTCTCAGCCCAGCTATGCAGTCTATGTTGGCACCAGTTTTTTGTTAGCAAACATCACAGCAACCCTTTTCTTTGTGGATTACTTATCAGGTGTTTTGTGCACAGTAGAGATATTATTCAAAATGTCCCAAAATCCTGCAGATACTCATATGGGTAGTGAAAAGAAGAAAAAAAAAAGAATAAAGCATTTATATTTATCAATATCACAGAGTCAGACTATTGAAAAAAAAAAAAACTAGACAGGGGTGTAAGTGTGAAGCTTCTGATTGAGGAGTTTGGTGTTAGAACAACCACCATATTCGACCTAAGGAAACAGAAGGAAAAATTGGTAAAGTTTTCTGCTGAAAATGATGAACAGAAATTAATGAAAAATAGAAAAACACTGCCCAGAACAAAAAATGATCTTGATTATGAATTGATGGAGTGGATTTGTCAGTGTCGGAGTGGACATATGCTGCTTATATAAAACTACCTTCAGAACATATGCATAAGCCGTTATAAAATGTAAAGGAATATTGTGCTTGTGCTTAGGTTCTATTCCCATGCTGTTCCATTTTATAGATACTATATACAAATTAAATAGCCTGTATTCCAAATATCAAAAAAAATCTGAAAACCAAAATACTTCTGGTCACAAGAATTTTGGATAAAAGATACTCAACTTGTATTTTTCATTTACCATCACAAAGATTCTGTCCCAAATTACCACAGGTATAAAAAGGAAAAAAAAAAAAGAAGAGCATTGTACTTACTCAACAGTAAATTCGTTTTCTCCAACGGGAATACAGAAGACAAACTGTATTGCACTCCACAGTCGATGGAACTCTGTGCATTCATCGATATTCATGACACCATTCGATGGTTGTGTGCCATGCCAAATCTCATCATCCAAGAAAGACTTTATACGTGACAACACTATCTCAAACATTGATAAGCCACAACAAAGACGTTCTCTGGTCAGCAAATCACCTTCAGTAGCAATTTCAATTTGCTGTAAATAGAAACAACATTCAAAGCAAAAAGAAATACAAGTCACTTTTTCAGTTAGATTTTTGCTTTCAAAAAAAAAAAAAAAAAAAAAAAAAAAAAAAAAAAAAATTCTGTTTATACAAAATTATGCAGATTTTATTGCAAGTAAGTATAACAGACTGGATTTACAAGTGATAAATTGGTTTACGTTTGTAAGTCCAGCATGACTAAATTTTGGATTGACTTTCTCTTCGCTGACAGTTTAAGCTGATTTGAAAAGAAGCCTTAAAAAAAAAAAAAAAAAAAAAAAATGAAAGTGTCAAAATTTAGTTGCACTAGTTTATTAAAAAACAAAGTCAAATTTGCTAACCATGTTTACAATAATGTTTTTCAAGATTGATTTGTTTTTTATGGCTTATCGACCCTTTGTGGGTTATTTAAAACCAAAATGTTTTTAGATTGTAAGAATAATTATTTTTTGTGAGTGAACATTGCATTAATTTTTTTAACAATATCCCCCCCCGATAAGTCCTACTATTTAACCCATAGCTGGGGGGAGAGAGGGTTTAATATCTTTCCCTAGGGTATTTGCATCTAAGTGAATGTAGCAAATGTAACAATTCTGAACCTTAAACATTCTAGGCCATTATCCATTAAGCACCCGCACATACACTTTCTCCCCACCCCCAAGAATAGTGAACTGTATAAAATCAACTATGTTAAAAAGTGAGGGATCCTTTTATAATTTGATTATAAAACAAAATGATCCCCTCCTTAATAACTATTTTGTTATTAGACAAATTGCCACATTGGTCAACAAGTAGTGAATTGGGTTAGTCTTGATAACTCAGTGCTACTAAATTTTGAATTGACTTTCTTTTTAGTAGTCAAGTTTATTTTAAAAGTACTGAAATTTCTTAATACTATGTTATTTTTAGTGGGTACACATATTTGAGTTGATATCCCTGTATTTTCTTACAAAGAAATGAATATCAACTGGCCTAGATTAAGAAGTTTGACTAAAGAAAAATGTGCCTCCCAACAGGAATTGAACCTGTATTCCCTTTTTCCAATCAGGGAAGCTACTCATATAGCCAAAGTGTCCTATTACCAATTTGGCCTCAGGAGACCATCATGATAAAGCAAGGCTCAATTACCTACTTAAGGAATGCACATCTCTCGTTACAACTTCTTTGAATCTATATCAGCTTCATTTTGTACCTGAAACATAAACACAGTAAATTTTAAATGGATGTTGTTTTCATCCATCATTATTTCTTATTACTATAAATGTCATTTTTAGTCGGTAAGTATATTTGAGTTGATATCCCTGTATTTTTTTGATTTTCTTAAACAGTGTAATTTATAATCAACCAGTCTAGAATTTTACTGTTTATGAAAATCAAAACATAATAATAAAGACAATGTCAACTCAAATATGTGTATTGATTAAGAATAACATTTATAGTAATAAAATCTAATGTCAGAGTAAAATCCATTTAAAAAAGAAAAAAAAAGAAAAAAAAAAGTAAAATTCTAACTTTAGTCATGCTAATCTTTCAACAGTAACCCAAATAGGAAACAAAAATAATAAAAAAAAATAAAAATAAAATATTAGCTTTGGCAAAATTTGGAGGAAATTTATTTAAAAAAAAAAAAAATAAAAAAAAAATAAATTGAATTTTCATTCAAATTTTGCTGGAACTGAATATGAAAATAATCCAGCTTTTCTTCTGAAAGTCCAGTACTGTGCCATTTTAAACTATTATATTTTTAAACTATGCAAATTTAATTGGTATCTTATAATTTGTCAAAGGATATTAAAAATAATATTCAACTGATGATTCATCTATACTTGTGGAACTGATTCCCAAGAGGATGCTTCCCTAATCACTACAATCTTAACTTGTTCAAGTCTATGGTTAACAGTTATCTTCCCCACATATCCCTATAAACCATGCCTCTTATTTTGTGACCCTCTATCTCGAGTGGCTCTAGGGCAGGGTGAACATCACAAAAAAGGGTTTGACTTTTTTTTTTTTTTTTTACTCTATTTTCCTACATTTCTGAAAATCTTGATATAAAAAAAAGAAAAAGAAAAAATTACAGCTGACTCAAAAAAAACAATGAATGACAATTCTATAAAAGCTTTTGTGTGAAGTATAAACTAAGAAAACATTAATACTTTCTTAAAAAAAGTCAATATTTTCATGCTTAACCTTGTAATCAGTTAACAGATTTAAAAATTAAAGATTAAAATTTTAAAATCAGGGATGACTATTTCGAAACTGCATATGTACTTGATACGTGATCAATGCAGCCAAAAGAATGCTTAAAAAAAAAAAAAAAAAAAAAAAAATGCTACTACTGTGAAAATGTAATTTGAGAATTTCAATAAATTTTGCCATTATTAATTGAAATACACAGATTGCCACTAACACCTAAATTTGGTAGCATTATATAAATAAAAGTACTTGTAAAACCAGATCCTTGATATTTTTGAGATATTTTCCTTTTATTGCATACATGTCATTTTTGCGTAATTGTTAAGTATTGAGTCCAAGTATTGCAAAATTAACATCTCTTAAGATAATGTTCGTTATGTTAAGCAAATTGTTATCTTATGTGACATATTTCCTTTCAAATTATTTATTTATTTTTTTATCCAGTGTACTTTTTATTTTCATGAGACCAGTAATGGTAATTTGACCAAGTTGAGTATGTTGTCCCTCCATTTGAATTTCATGAGAACTCTTTCTTTAGTCTTTATTCAAAAGATTTAAGTGATTTGCTCTTGCCTTTTCATATTTTGTAAGGTTGTTATTTGGATTTTCTTGATTCATTTGTCGCCAGGAATTAAATGCATAATGTGGCCATGGAAGATCTCAACTTTTATTTATTTATTATTTTTGAGGGAAACTGTCTTTCTATGTAGTACAGTCAAAGCCTATCCATATGCTATAAACCAAAAATTTGGTGCCAGCCTCTGGATTTAATAATCAATAAGTCTTATACCTTCTTTGGTTTAATGAACTCCTACTAAACAAGTAGGATGAAACTATCTAACCCATTAGTGCATGCCGTCTAATTTTTTTAGGGAGAGGACTACTTAAAATTTTTAAATCTGTTGGATTATCATTAGTCAGCAAGGTAGATTAAGCAAAAAGAAACTTTATTTTATGGAAACTTTATGCAGTAATTGGTTAATTTCGTTATTATTGAATAATATTCAGGAAGAGAAAATTTTTGGCCTGTAGATTGTAAATTATTTTTGAAAAAGGCAAGCAACTTTCAATTTTTAGGCAATTCTTTGAAATCCAGTGTGTGACCCCAAACTTTTGATCTATAGAATTGAAAGACTGTGTGTTTCACAGAATTAAAAATATTTGGGTAAAATATCGGTAAATTAAGGCCAAAGCAAGAACACATACAGTTTCCTATAAATATTTTTTTTCAGTTAGTAAAAAAAAAAAAATCTCTGGAAAAAAAAAAAAAAAAAAAGTTTAATATCACTATTTTTAAAATGTCACAAATATTAATGATAGATTTAAGTTTATTTATATTATTATACAAGGAACAGATTACAAGGTTTCGGGAAAAAAATAAATATTTCCAAGTATAAAACATTGATTAATGCCTTGACATTTAAAGGAAAAAATATGTATTTGAGAAATCCTGTGATTAGAAATTAATAAAAAACAAATATTTTGAAGTCACAAGGACATTTTTACAATCATTTGTGGACCATTTACAATTTCAATTACATAATGATTTTCTTTTTTTTTTGCACAAAATGCACAACATGTGACTTGACATTGCACATACTTTTTGGTTGCCTAATTTCATAATGACGTTCACCACTTGGAGTGATGAATATTTTGCTTTTCATCAGTTTTAATTCTTTTTTTTTTGGCGGCATCAGAAAAATAGAATTAATTCTTAGATGAAGAAAGGAGAATAATTTTTAGAATAATATTTGAAGAAAGGAGAATAATTAATAGATGAAGAAAGGAAGAAAATAGAATAATATAAGAAAGGGGGATTATAATAGATGAAGAAAATGAATAATATAATAGATGAAGAAAATAGAATAATATAATAGATGAAGAAAATAAATAATAATAGATGAAGAAAATAGAATAATATAATAGATGAAGAAAGGAGAATAATATAATAGATAAAGAAAGGAGAATAATATAATAGATGAAGAAAGGAGAATAATATAATAGATGAAGAATAATATAATAATATAATAGATGAAGAAAGAAAGGGAATAATATAATAGATGAAGAAAATAGAATAATATAATAATGAAGAAAGGAGAATAATATAATAGATGAAGAAAATAGAATAATATAATAGATGAAAAATAGAAAATAGAATAATATAATAGATGAAGAAAATAGAATAATATAATAGATGAAGAAAATAGAATAATATAATAGATGAAGAAAAATATAATAGATGAAGAATAATAATAATAGATGAAGAAAATAGAATAATATAATAGATGAAGAAAGGAGAATAATATAATAGATGAAGAAAGGAGAATAATATAATAGATGAAGAAAGGAGAATAATATAATAGATGAAGAAAGGAGAATAATATAATAGATGAAGAAAGGAGAATAATATAATAGATGAAGAAAGGAGAATAATATAATAGATGAAGAAAGGAGAATAATATAATAGATGAAGAAAGGAGAATAATATAATATAATAGATGAAAAAATAGAATAATATAATAGAAAATAGAATAATATAATAGATGAAGAAAATAGAATAATATAATAGATGAATAATATAATAGATAATAGAATAATATAATAGATGAAAATAGAATAATATAATAGATGAAGAAAAATAGAATAATAAATATAATAGATGAAGAAAATAGAGAATAATATAATAAATATATATGAATAGATGAAGAAAGGAGAATAATATAATAGATGAAGAAAATAGAATAATATAATAGATGAAGAAAGGAGAATAATATAATAGATGAAGAAAATAGAATAATATAATAGATGAAGAAAGGAGAATAATATAATAGATGAAGAAAATAGAATAATATAATAGAGAATAATATAATAGATGAAGAAAGGAGAATAATATAATAGATGAAGAAAAGAATAATATAATAGATGAATAATATAATAGATGAAGAAAATAATATAATAGATGAAGAAAATAGAATAATATAATAGATGAAGAAAGGAGATAATATATAAAGAAAATAGAATAATATAATAGATATAATATATGAAGAAAAATAATAATATAATAGATGAAGAAAGGAGAATAATATAATAGATGAAGAAAATGCATAATAGATGAAGAAAGGAGAATAATATAATAGATGAAAGAAAAGAATAATATAATAGAATAATATAATAGATGAAGAAAGGAGAATAATATATTGATAATTAATTGAAGAAAGGAATAATATAATATAAAATGCAATAAATAGATTAATATAATAGATGAAGAAAATGATGAAGAAAATGAATAATATAATAGATGAACAGAATAATATAATAGATGATTGATGATAGAATAATATAATAGATAAGATTTTAGATGAAGAAAATAGAATAATATAATAGATGAAAAAGGAGAATAATATAATAGATGAAGAAAGGAGAATAATATAATAGATGAAGAAAATAGAATAATATAATAGATGAAGAAAAGGAGAATAATATAATAGATGAAGAAAGGAGAATAATATAATAGATGAAGAAAGGAGAATAATATAATAGATGAAGAAAGGAGAATAATATAATAGATGAAGAAAATAGAATAATATAATAGATGAAGAAAGAAGAATCTAATAGATGAAGAAAGGAGAATAATATAATAGATGAAGAAAATATAATAATATAATAGATGAAGAAAATAGAATAATATAATAGATGAAAAGAATAATATATTATCTTACTTATTATAAAATGCAGTTGTTTTTAACGTTTATATATTGGATCAATTTCCTAAAAACAAAACTTCACAGGACTACATAAAATTACCTTGTGGTGGTTCTAACATCACAGTTGTTTTTTAACAAAATCAATATGAAAACACGATTAAGACACATCGTGAGAATGACAGGGGACAACTCACCCACGAAAATGTAAACAAAAAGAGCATAGCATGATGAAAAAGACGAACTTGAAAACAAAATTTTATCGCCTAATGTTCATATTATTATTAAAGAGGAAAAGATCAAAGTATTTTTTTGGTATTTTTTACATTTTTAATCGTTCCTAGCACGTCTGAAATTTTCGTTAAAAATATTGTTTAAGAAATTAAAAAAATAAGACTGTTAATAGTGAGATTAAATTTCATAAGAAAAAGGTATCTAATTAATTTAGGTACCTTTCTCATGAAATTTTATCAGAAGTGTACATAAAATACTATAATTTTATGTACATTTATTACATTTTACTGTGTTATTTGTATTTCCATTCATTTTATTATTAATTTTGATATTTCATTTATGGAAAAATGTCATAACTGAGATTAATATAAAAATAAGATCATATAAATTAAAGTTTAGCCATAGTTAAATTTCATAAGATGATACTGTTACTTGTAGGTACCCTTCTCAGTTGAAATTGAAAACTCAAATTAACTTCTCCATACGTCTTTTGCTTAAAAGTAAAGGGCTTAACAGCGGAGAACAATGCTGAACTCAAATAATGCAACTAAATTGTATTCTGGTTGGTCTTCCGTATTTGATAATTACTGTCCGACTATAAACACAAAATTACATTTCTTAATTACCATGGCTAATCTGATTGGTCCAAATTATACAATTTTCAAAGCGCTAGACAATGACAATCTCACACGGATATTTTGAAAGGTTGATGTTGCTTTTAACTAATGTTAAAATATTTTTTAAAATTCAATTTAAACATTTTTTAAAAATCTTTTTAAAATTAAAGAAATAAGAAAATAAGAAAAATTCAATTTTCATTGAAAAAATTTTTGTCTTTCAGAAAATATTGTCCATATTCATAAAAAAAAATTAAAACAAATAAAAGCATTTGAAACTAAATAATATATTTGTTTTATTGAGTTTTGTATGTTACAATTCACAGCTGATTTTCAGGTACGTTGGCAAAAAAAACAAAAAAAAAACATGATTTGCATTCTTCAAAGCCTTGTGCTTTTAACTATTGTAATCACTAAAACCGATGGTCTCGAATTTCTAGAGTTTTTCATAAAATTAGTTATGGGGGTGTTAATAAATATAAAAAAAATATTTCTGCCATGACTTTAATAAAAAAAACAAAAAAAAATATATAATAATTTTTGATCATCTGTGAATAGTTTCTGAAAGTTTCATTAACATCTGACAATTATTTTTTATTTTTTGCAAGATTTTCCAAATTAATGTGTGTAAATACAAAAAAACGCGATAAAAATTATCTATGTTATTTACTACCCCTTGTTGCGACAAAGAGAAACAAGGTTTTTTTAAATCAAAATTTAGAATATTCTAAAAAGATGGAAAAATTTTAAAAAATAATTAAAAAAAAAAAATTTGGTCTATCCTCTTCATAAAAACAAGCATTTTGCCGATAAAATTTTGTTTTCATAAACTTTGGCGTCTTTTTCATCAGAATATGCTCTATGTTTTAGCAATTCTGTGGAGCGACTTAGGTTAAAAAACCCAGGTTGTTTGTGTGTGTGTGTGTGTGTGTGTGTATGTGTGTGTGTTCCTTTATATATGGGATCGGATTTCTTACATTTTTCAGCCGATAAAACAAACATCCACTTTTTTTTTTTGGCAGGTAGTATTTCTTATAGTCTTGCACACTTTTTTCTTTATTTACATTCAGAATGCTTTAAAAATTCCATTTACAAGACAATTGTTTATAATAAAATTCTATTCACCAATCGATAGACTCATAACGATTGTAAACAATGTTTTTGTTTGAATTTGGGTTTGACCAATTCGTAAAAAAAAACCTAATTAAGACATGCGTGTCTGTCAACCTTAAACAATAATCTTTGTCAATTTTATTTTTCAGTCTTTATGATGGTCGATACTTGATCTATCTCTTACTGTTTCATCCCGAGCAACGCTTGGCTCTCTACTAGTATATATATATATATATATATATATATATATATATATATATATATATATATATATTACTTCAATTTTTTTTTTTTGGTGGATACTCATATTTGAGTATATACTCCATTTATCTATTAAACAGTATATTTATTTTTGTCTACCAGCCCTAATATTTAAGAAAAATATGAACTCTGGAAACAGTCATTAGCTCTGATGTATGTCAATGAGCAAGTTGTATAATGCCTTTAAACACAGATTTTTCTCTGACTCTTGAAAAAGACATATCTGGTCCGTTTTGTATCCTAACATAAACAAAGTGATTTGTAAAGAAAAGGGTGGATTTTTTATTTATTAATCTGACAGATTTTTTATTACTTAAATGTTATTTTTCAGGCTGGCCAGCAAAAATAAATATACTGCTTAATAAATAAATGGAGCATATACTCAAATACAAGTATCTACTAAAAATAACATTTAAGTAATAAAAATCTGTTGGATTAATAAATAAAAAATCCACCCCTTTCTTTATATATATAAGACATGCGTGTCTGTCAACCTTAAACAATAATCTTTGTCAATTTTATTTTTCAGTCTTTATGATGGTCGATACTTGATCTATCTCTTACTGTTACATCCCCGGGCAATGCCGGGCTCTACTGCTAGTATATTATAATAGATGAAGAAAATAGAATAATATATTATATATTATAATAGATGAAGAAAATAGAATAGGAGTTAAACATTCATGACAAAAACAATAAAACAAAGTAGACAACCCAAATGCAGAAAGGGAAAATATTTATGATTGTAAGCATGTATCAAGATATAATAGTAGGTATCTGTTTATCTTGTGAGGTAATGATAGTACTGTGTCTGCTCAAAATACAGTCCGAGTGTCAGCAGCACCTGGTGTAATTTAGCAGTTTGATCTTTGCATGGAAGGCTGTTCTACAGATGTGGCAGAATAAGCTAGAATATGGAACTAAGGTCTAAGATTGCTCACTCTACATCCTGTGTTGTCTTCTGACCTCTGTTGGTTTTGGTTTTTCTCACCCTACATGGCTCCTCCTTGAACAGCATGCCATCAGTTGTTGTGGTTGTCTGCTAGCTGTTCCCAGCTATCTGGGTTAATGCCTGTGAGATTCAGGTCCCTTTTGCAGATATCCTGGAATCATAGTGTAGGGCAGCCTACTGGATAGTGTCCCATGGCCACTTCACCATATACGATGTCTTTTGGTATACGGCCGTCATACATGTGACCCAGCCATCAAAGATAACACTGACACAGGAGGAGCTGCATTCTCCAGCAGTCTGCTTGCTCCAGCACAGCAACGTTGGTAACTTTGTCCCTCTATGTGATGCCAAGGATATGTTGTAGGCAGCCGTGATGGAAGTTTTTCAGGCAGCTTTCCTGCCTGCCATATGCTGTCCAGGTTTTGCTGCCATAAAGTAGAATGATTACACAGGCTTGGTATACTTTTAGTTATCAAGTAGAGGGTATGTACATAAAAAATGAACGTGGAGGTAGCATAATGGTTAACAGGTGGAATTAGTGAACATGGTTCAAATTCTAGCATAGTCTGTTGTGTTCACTTGCACACTAATACTCCTGAGAAAGGCATAAATCAAGTTTTTCTTCTCCCAGCTATGTGCTAGGATCTCTATCTGCTTGTCCTCATCTTTATTGCCATATTCACATTTCAGTTTTCCTCAGATGATATTAGTTGGAATTTGAAGAAGGCAGGAACATACAACAGATGAAACGTTGAGAATATCGCAATAAAGATGAGGACAACAGTCCGAACTGTGTAAATAGTTATAATACCTCATCTCAGAAATATAGACTGTGGATATGCCAATAAAGATGAGAACAACAGGCCGAACTGTGTAAATAGTTATAATACCTCATCTCAGAAATATAGACTGTGGATATGCCAATAAAGATGAGAACAACAGGCCGAACTGTGTAAATAGTTATAATACCTCATCTCAGAAATATAGACTGTGGATATGCCAATAAAGATGAGAACAACAGGCCGAACTGTGTAAATAGTTATAATACCTCATCTCAGAAATATAGACAGATATGTATTTAATGTCATATAGAATAGATTAAATTACGGTCATGGGGTTGTTCATAGTTGTTAAGTTGTGGATTCTTACTTAGAAAAGACCTGTCTATATCACAGATATATTACTTGTTGAAACCATTTAAATTGCAATGTTACCTTTGATTTGTACATAGGGTTTTGGAATAACATTCTGGAATGGTGCTGCATGTTTTAAGTCACAAACTTCTTCCTGGGTCTGAAAAAGAAATGACAAAGACAACATTAGAATTAAGAAAATAGAGTTTCAGTCAGTTATGTGCCATGCATGATACACACTTAGGTGATCATGTATCATTTGATACATGACTGATGAGGCAGATTTTTTTCTGCAGTAGGTTGGACATTTCTTTCTACAGTATACTAGTTGCCATCCATGGCTATAGAACCCAGTCTGTCCTGCTATTTACCCATAGCTGGGAGGAGAAGAGGATTCATATCTTTCCCAAGGGTATTAGCATGTAAATGAATGGAATGGATTTGACTGGAATTTGAACTTGGCTCTCCAATTCCTTAATCCGAGCTGCTATACATTACTCCATTGTCATGCTATAAATTTTTTTTTTTTTTTTTTTTTTTTACTTCAAATCTTTTTAAAATACTCATTTCATATAATTAAAGGCATGAGTCTAGGCATGGTGCCACAAAATAAAAGGTCATTGATCGATTCATTTTTCATGGCTTATCAACCCATTGCAGGTTATTTCAATTCTAAAACTAGTTTTACATTGTAAGAATTATATAGAACTATATAGGGCCATGGATGCAGTCTTTAGCTATCTCTGACAAAAACCAACAGTTTAAAACTTGGTGTCCACCAGAAATCAACCAGCAAAAACAACCTAATAAATTTCTATTCCCATCATAACGAAATAAAATCCAGCATAATCATCAGATTCTACCTAAGAGCTCTAAGACTATACAGCTCAGATTATTTACAAGAGGAGGAGAAATGCATTGAAAACACTTTCAAACTTTTCCAGTACCCTAATTATTTTATATTCAATTCGAAACAACCTGAAGGAGGACTTTTCTTCGCCTATATTTGTCACAAAAAATATGTAAGAAATTCTTCAAGGAATCTAAATAAAAGATTATATGAACACAAAAGGGACATTTTACAAAATAATACATGAAATGCTTTGGTAGACCACCATAGCAAAACTGAACACAACTTTGACATAAAAAAATGCTATCATGATCAAAGGAGAAAAATAATTCACTATAATGCAAATGTCTAGAGAGTGCCTTAATTGTAAGGTCATCTATAGTAAATTTGCACCCTGGCTCTTACAACATTTTACCATTTCTGGCAATCTTCTAATATTACAGTGTGGAATACCTACTTACAAAAGTGATGAAAAGAAAAGACTAAATGAAATTGGCTAAAAATAAAAAAAAAAATCTGAAATTCCCAGCACCCCTCTGTTGTGCACATATGTAGCCCTACCAACATAACAAAATCAGTCTGCTGAAGGCCGAAACTCGTCACAAATAAACTTTTCCCACTGTGTCATAAATTTTCCCCAATACTGCTCTCGATTATATATATATATATATATATATATATATATAAACAATGAATCATTCATACAAAAAGTAAATTAGTAAAGTTAATAAGATAAAATGGCAAATTCACTTCATTAACTAAATTTTAAAAATGCATTAACCCACTAACTACTTGATGAATGTTATGATCCTTTATTTTTGAAACTATAAACTGTAGTAGGTCTTCCTTAAATATACAAGTACTTTTGACAGGTCCTGGTCATCATTAGGTATGGAAACTATTTTCTTTTTGGTAAAATTCAGGTTGCATTCAAGACAAAAAAATATAATGTGAATCAAAATGTTTTTTTTTTTTTTTAATGTGTTATTGATAACAGATACAAACTTGCAGAGCATGCAGTCACAATGCTAAGGTTGAATTTTTGTAAATTTAAGTGAGAGTGTTTTTTACTAATATGGCAATTTAAGAATTTTTTTGTTGTAGGTATTTATCAGTCAGTGTCTTATTTTGTCTTGGATGCTACCAGTCCAGAAAAGAAAACACTTGTATGAACACAAGAAAAATTAAATAAAAATGTGTGTGCGTGTGCGTATATATATATATATATATATATATATATATATATGTGTGTGTGTATGTATAAATATGAATATAAGATATCACCCATTGAGTGCTGGTGTCAATAAAATAGTGCTCAATGTAATATAACAGTCCTGTTAAGTATATATTAATGAATATACATATTGTGCCTCACTAGTATCACAACTCATGCACAACACAATCTTCAGGTGATGGGTAGAGACTGATTGTGTGGTGCATGAAACTCCGAGTCGTGCTACTGGTGACAGTCAACACATATATATATATATATATATATATATATGCCCATATACACATGTGCTAGACAACTTTGATTATATACAGGGTATCCCTAAAGTCTGGACACCGAGGAAATCTCATTAACTATTTTTTTTTTTTTTTTTTGCTCTACAAATGAAAAAAAGAATTGACTTCTTTTTCTGGGATATGCAAAATTTACTCAATGAAAATCACAGATGCAACACACTTGATTGAATGCATAAAGAATAAATGTGCTAAAATTGACAGCAATGTGAAGTTATTGCATAAAGTTCATGTGACTCTTTCAAAGTGCATCAAACTTTGCCTTCACAAATGATGGAAATCATATTGAAAATGTTATTTGTTAATATTTCAGTTCAACAAGATTTTTACTGAAAATTCCATTTCAGAAAATATGCATTTCTGCCTAGATTGTCCAGACTTTAAGGACATACCCTGTATAATTAGGATTTCATATAAGTAGAAAATAGATATAATATCTATAAAGACATCTTATAAAAGGTATAATCATATATATATATATATATATATATATATATATATATATATATATATATGATTATACATACACCCTTGTGCAAATTAATTGAAACAACCACTTTAGTTTCCTTTCTTTCACCATATGGTCAGTTTTAGACCCACTGAAGTGACAGTGTGTAATTGATTTCTATTTTTTCTCACATTAGGTCATTTGCAGTGGTGTGCAGTAATATGAATCTCTTTTCAGAATGTATGATAAAATTTGTTTGGCCTTGAAAAATATTGCATCATCCATGATTGCATCAGATTCTTATCACACCTAGACGCGACTGTCGATTAGTTGTCCTACGGCCATTGTCTGTGAGGGATGTTACTCCAAGGAAGCATACAAAAATTCTAACGCTGCGCAAACACACTTGCAAGTCTTACCAGTGAGCAAATCAAAGTACTATAGACTGGCCTGGAAAATCTCTTGATTGAAAATCTGTTGTCAATCAGCAAGGAATGACTTTGTAGAATGGACATATGAAGTACTAACAAATGCACTGGGTCATGGTTCATTGGAAAAATATGAAAAAAAGTAAATAATTATTTGTTTTGTTTCAAATTATTTGTACAAGGGTGTGTGTGTGCCCATGAAAAGACAGGCAAATTCACTTACCAGTGACTGTTCTACAAGCATACAGAACAGTATAGCATTCCCCACTTCACGAAAGCTCTGGAAAACTTCTGTTTTTAAGTCTGGATATTGAATCATGTCATTCAATTGGGCCTGATAATAGGCCATGACACCTGAAAAGAGAAAAAAAAATCATATTGGGTTTGTAAGTGGAAATTTAGCAGAGCAACACAAATGATACACAGAGAAGAGAACATATCTGAATGATCAAACTCTGGTTTGCATAAATCAACAAATAATTTAAATGATTTCAATTTTGTTTCTATTTCTTAAAATTACTGATTTTAATGTGCAATCTCTACACATTCAGTTACCACTTTTGACATATTTAAATGAGAAAATTGAAATAATTGTGTGAATTATATTTAGACAATGATTTAAAAGAGAAAGAATAATAATATTATACAATGAGGTAATATACTCAAGCTAAAAGCAAACAAAAAAAACAGTCATTATGTTTGTTAGACTTGACTTTTAGAAATAATATCAAATCAAAAGTCATCAGGTCATTCATTCACAAAGTTTGGAAGGAGTTGTAAACCTGCAACAATGTGGTGCATGAGGACCATGTGATTTGTGCATGTCAATGATTCCAGTCCCGCATTGAAGTCATCCCTGCATCTGAAGTCGGTTACATTGAATAAACATGTAATCCAACCATTACTGCAGCTGTGTACCAAGGTTTTTTAGTCAATAAATTTAGTGAAGTGCAAAAAGCATTCACAGCATTTGGGCAGAGTATCAGGACACCACAATTCAGATGGATGCAGAATATAATCAATGTGAATCCCAGAATGTCAAAGGGCCACTGCTAGAGATCTCCAGCTGTTTGAGGGCATAGTCTGCACCATGGTGCATGAAGACATTTGGTACAACTCGTCCATGATGAGAAAAGGGCATTTTATGTTGGTACGCACACAAGAACAATCATTGCTTAAAGCAAAATAATTATTGAACAAGTTGAAATATCCAGAAGAAATGGACACTTTTTTTTTTTTCTCTCCAGACAAAAATAATTTCGGCCGTTATCAAAAAACTGAATCATAGAAATGACAGATGGCTATGTGCAGATCTTTCTGATGTCATCCATGTTATGCAGACTAAGTTTCATGCTTCTGTAATGGTTTTAAGGGTAGTGAGTAGCAATGAACATATCATGCCACCCTACTTCTTTCAACAAGGTCTTCTGTTGATTAATTCTGGCTACACTGATGTGATGGGAACAGTTGTGAAGTCTCAGATAGGCCTTATATGTGACGGAAGGCTGTACACGTTTCATTCTGCACCTGCTCACAAAGCTGTGGTGACCTAAGATTGGATGTTGACCAATCTGTGTGACTACACCACACTAAGCATACTGCCACCTAACTCACCAGACCTAAATTCCTTTGTCTATTACATGTGGGGCATTGTTGAAAGTGAAACTAATCAAATGTTCCCACAATATATTACCCAAGTAATATCCAATATCAATACAGACCATGTGATTGATGTATGTCAATGATTTCAGTCCCTCATTGAAGCCATTGTTGCAGCTGAAGGTGGTTACATCAAATAAACATGTAATCCAACCATTACTGAATCTGTACCAAATTTTATATAAAAAAAATGTAGTTGTTTGTAAGGTGTGGTTATTTTTCTTATGGTTTTCAATATATTCTTAAATACCTTACAGGCACTGTGTTTGTCCTTAAAATTATTCAGACATTGTAATGTCTCCACTTACTGTAAATTGTGGCATTGAGAGAGAGGAAGACAACTGGATATAATCTTTTTCCAAAGACACTGTAGTTTTAGGAAAAAAAAAACAAAAAAAAACAATGTGCGAGATGGAAGTAAACAGTTTTGATACTTACCAGGGGATCCATAGTCATACCGCAAAAGTTTGCAAACATTTGGCATGACTTTCATCAGAGTCTTGATGTAATCCATTGTGGTCCCTTTCAGCTAGAGAAAATTAAACAGGAAAGTGATTTAATCAAACAATTTTAACTAAATATATACAGGGAAGGGATGAGGAAAACTTTACTTCAGATGGAATGGAAAAAAAAAAATCTCACTACTAAAGGAAAGAGGAATTTACCGGCATTTTCTTTACTTATAATCATTTAAAATTAGATTTTAATTATTTCCTTTTTGACTAACCCTCATTAAATTGGAATTTAAAAAAAAAAAAAAAAAAATTATTTATCATCATAATTTCTTGTTCAGCAGGCACTCAATTTTATTGTTTCAAACATTTTTTAAAAAATTAATTTCTAATTGTAATTACAGAAAAAAAAAAAAAAATGTTACTGATGGTCAGTCTATAAGTAAAAAGGTTTTTGCCGGAAGAAAGAAATGAAAGAAAAAAACAATTCGGAGAGATCTTTTTTTTCATGAACATGAATTTAAAACAAATTTTAAGATGGGAGAAAACCCAACATTTTTTTTCTCCTTTTAAATTCTCCTTTAATTTCTGAATTTAAAAGAATTTTTTTTTTCTTTTATATTTAAAAAAAAATTTCCCTTTAATTCAAAATATTTTAAAAAACTTTTTGAAAACCTTTAAAATAATTCTTTTTTTTTTTTAATTAAAATATTTTTAATAAAAAATCTTTTAATTAAAAATGCATAAAGAAATATTGGTATAAAAATTTAAAAACAAAACAGAAAAGAAAATATATATTTTTTTTTCTTTCTTCATCTTTCTCGGATCTCATGGCCAAACTCCAGCATCTAATGCGCATGATAATCCAGTGAACCTTCTTCCCACTTACAGAGACAAATTTATCTGTCGCTCTGTTTTTTTCATTTGAATGTTTAGACACCAGAATGCGGTTTTGAAACTGACAAAAATAAAGAAAAATTACTGACAGTGACTGAAGGAGGAAGTGAAAATCATACGGAAAATACTAACGTTCAATTTCATATTTACAGAAATCACCAAACAAACTCAGGTTTGCATTACAAGAAGACAAGGAAAAAAGAAAAAAAAAATGATAAAAAAAAAAACAACAAAAAAAACAAAAAACAAAAAAAAACAAAAAACAAACTAACTTAGACAACAAATTCTAAGAAATATTAAAAAGGTGTGTGTCTTCTCCACAACCTTTTCTCCTTTTCTACAATCAACTGTAGACAACAGCACACATTTCTAATCGATATTATGTTAACTTAATAGCAGTTTAACAGGAATTTTTTTTTTTTCAAGAATAAAACATTAGGTTGGAAACAAAGCAATTTAGATTGTTTATGTGAGTTTATATTTAAAACTAACCCAATGATCTAACACAGGGGTCAGCAACCTTTTGCTATGTGCCGATTTAGGGTTTTAAAATCATTCAGTGTACCAACAGCATACTTATTTTTATACGAGACAAGGTCAATATATAAAATTTTAAAAATGGCAAGGACATGTAGATCCTTACATGAACCCCGTTTTCTGTGTTTACATGAAAAATTTAAAATTATCAAGTTCTTTGATAAGAATGCTTTATTAAACCAAAGATCTGAGTTGACAGTAAATTGTAAACACAGTCTACCTTTTACTGTACAAGTCAGTTAGACTTGAAATTTGACAATGCTTTTTCTTAGATTTTAGTTGAACTGTACTGCAACATATATGGCATATCTTTCTATTTGTTAGATTAATTTGGATTTAATATAATTTTGTTTTAATCTCCTGGTAGTATTAGTAACATCTTGTATTGATGTATTGGTATTTTTGACATTTTGCATTGATTGTTTATTGTTATTAACATCTTGTATAAAGAATCTTTAGTCAACAGCTGCATATTATTTTACCAGGTAATTCTATACAATTATTTACTGGTTTCTTAAAGAAGCTATTTATTTATCAACTATAAAAAAATTTTTATGTAGGAAACTCACAAAGCATATAACTTGTTTAACATTTTGTTAAATTACCGCTCCATCTCATTTTTTTCTTAGGAAAGGACATTGTCTAGTGTGTCAAAAATGTATCCATTAACATCCACTCCTGTTTAATGTCTGTGCTACCATTGATTGCCAATCTACAAATCATGACGCATTTATGGAAAATAATTTCTTAATTTTTGCTTCTTTGCTTAGTTTAAATTTAACGTAGGTTATATTTGATTGGTTGATCTAAGTAAAGCCCACAAACCTTATAAACCCCACTTTTTTTTTTCATAAAAGAGGTATTTTACTTTTAAATCTAAATAAATTGTTCACTTGCCAGTAATTTACAATCGCCTGATGAGATGCATTTGATATGCATCAAAACATGTAATACCCTAAAATAAATAATATTGCTCTACTTTGTATTGAGCCATCTTTTAAATTAAATGTTATGAATGTTGGAATTGTACTGTATTCATTCTCATCTTACCTAGAGATATATAATATATATATATATATATATATATATATATATATATATATATATATATATATATATATATATATATTTTGGGCAGCAATCATTCTTTTATATAAGTTTCATTAAAACAACTGACAAGGTAGTGTGGTATAGTCTTTTAATTTTTCTTGTTCACTTATTATTTTTTCTTTTCTGGACATAACATATGTAAGAAATACCCAAATGTTCTGTATGTCCAAGCACTTTCGGTTATTCTTTTAGTCATTTTCAACGATGATTTTATTTTTACTTTTAACTGAATGTATGGAATTTTATGTATGTATCTAAAATTTGTTTTGAGATATCATCTACATAGCGGATATATATTTTAGGTTGAGTAACTTTTTAAATACCTTGTTTACAACATGAGACATGTATTTTGAGAAGCATGGACCAAGTGCATTTCCCATATTAACTCTGTTAGTTTGGGTATAAATGTTACCATTATGATTGCAGAAAGGGGTCTTTAGTTGTGCAGGCGCGTAGTAATTTCTTTTGTTTTCACTATATGGGTGGACTCAATTATCAAGTTAAATGACTGTTAAACAATCAACTTATTAGTATTTGTCTATGTTTCTGAGATAAGGTATTATGCACACTATTTACATTATTCAGACTATTGTCCTCATCTTTGTCGCCATATTTATTACGTTTCAGCTTTTGTACGTTCCGGCCTTCTTCAGGTGGTTGGAATGTTGAACTGAACCCTTTATTTTGTTCACTGAGGTAGACTGTTCTAGTACCACGTGCTATGTTTAATGGATGTCAGTTATCAGTTATCTCCTGTTAATTCCTCTCTCCAAGTTCTCCACTGCCTTAACCGGGTATTGAACGCAAACACTTTGAGTCCTTGGATCTAACCAATGCCTTTATCCACTGTGCCATGTGTCCTTATTGTTGGCTACAATTGAGTGAAGTTTATATTAGATTGCTTGAAAATTGAGGGAGTTTTTAGTTTAAAATTTATGTTGAAATAAGTGTATTGAAATCGATTTTTCATTTTTTGCTAAACACAGAGGTGTAGAAATAAAAATGAGGTATTGTTGAGCTTGTCATGATTTAAGTAACCTACAGACCGAGTCTGAATGAAATCGGAGGAAAAAACTTGAATCTATCAATTTTTGAGCGGCTTTATCGATTGATTTTTTTAAAAAAAATTATCAATTTTTTTACATCAAGAACCTATCTCTTACATTGTACAATATATGTGCCAAGTTTGGTCAAAATCCACTGGATGGATCTTGAGTGAAAAGTATCAAACAGACAAACATCCTCCTTATATATATATATATATATATATATATATATATATATCTTACTTATTATAAAACGCAGATTGTGTGTGTGTGTCTGTAACGTTTATATGTTGGATCGAATTTCCTACATTTTTTAGCCGATTTTAACAAAACTTCACAGGACTACATAAAATTACCTTGTGGTGGTTCTAACGGGGCCGAAAATGGGAAAAATACAGTTGTTTCTTAATAAAATCAATTTGAAAACACGATTAAGACACGTCGTGACAATGAAAGGGGGACAACTCACCCACGAAAATGTAAACAAAAGAGCATAGCATGATGAAAAAAAAGCCGAACTTGACGAAAACAAAATTTTATCATCTAATGTTCATATTATTATTGAAGAGGAAAGATCAAAGTATTTTGGGGGTATTTTTTACATGTTTTAATCGTTCCTAGCACGTCTGAAATTTTCGTTAAAAATATTGCTTTTTTTTGGTAATCAATCATTTTCAATCATTTACTTTGATATTTTTTAAAAATCAATTATCATTTTTTCAAAACTGATTTTAATAAAAACAGAAATTATACTGTTTATTTAAAATATTTTGAACCAAGCTTATCTTAGCTTCTGCGCCGAAAAAATGTAATTTGAAAATAAAACAAAGCAGGTCATAACCTTTTGCATTGCTTGACGAAAGGCACATTCATGATGTTTAGATAACTTACGGGAGGAGAATTCTTTCTACGGATGGAAGGAAGTGAAATTATTTAAGTGAACAAATTATTTACCTTGTTACTTTTAAGGAAAACTTTCAGCGCTCTAATTTTTTATTCTTTATTTTTATTTTTTTTTGTACTTAGCTTTCATTTTTACGTTTACGATGCTTTATGGAAAATATAAAGAAATTAAAAAAATAAGACTGTTAATAGTGAGATTAAATTTCATAAGAAAAAGGTATCTAATTAATTTAGGTACCTTTCTCATGAAATTTTATCAGAAGTGTACATAAAATACTATAATTTTATGTACATTTATTACATTTTACTGTGTTATTTGTATTTCCATTCATTTTATTATTAATTTTGATATTTCATTTATGGAAAAATGTCATAACTGAGATTAATATAAAAATAAGATCATATAAATTAAAGTTTAGCCATAGTTAAATTTCATAAGATGATACTGTTACTTGTAGGTACCCTTCTCAGTTGAAATTGAAAACTCAAATTAACTTCTCCATACGTCTTTCGCAAAAGTAAAGGGCTTAACAGCGGAGAACAATGCTGAACTCAAATAATGCAACTAAATTGTATTCTGGTTGGTCTTCCGTACTTGATAATTACTGTCCGACTATAAACACAAAAATTACATTTCTTAATTACCATGGCTAATCTGATTGGTCCAAATTATACAATTTTCAAAGCGCTAGACAATGACAATCTCACACGGATATTTTGAAAGGTTGATGTTGCTTTTAACTAATGTTAAAATATTTTTTAAAATTCAATTTAAACATTTTTTAAAAATCTTTTTAAAATTAAAGAAATAAGAAAATAAGAAAAATTCAATTTTCATTGAAAAAATTTTTGTCTTTCAGAAAATATTGTCCATATTCATAAAAAAAAATTAAAACAAATAAAAGCATTTGAAACTAAATAATATATTTGTTTTATTGAGTTTTGTATGTTACAATTCACAGCTGATTTTCAGGTACGTTGGCAAAAAAAAAAAAAAAGACAAACAAAAAAAAAAAAAACATGATTTGCATTCTTCAAAGCCTTGTGCTTTTAACTATTGTAATCACTAAAACCGATGGTCTTGAATTTCTAGAGTTTTTCATAAAATTAGTTATGGGGGTGTTAATAAATATAAAAAAATATTTCTGCCATGACTTTAATAAAAAAAAACAAAAAAAAAAACATATTTATAATAATTTTGATCATCTGTGAATAGTTTCTGAAAGTTTCATTAACATCTGACAATTATTTTTATTTTGCAAGATTTTCCAAATTAATGTGTAAATACAAAAAAATGCATTTTTTATCTATGTTATTTACTACCCCTTTGCGACAAAAGAGAAACAAGGTTTTTTAAATCAAAATTTAGAATATTCTAAAAAGATGGAAAAATTTTAAAAAATAATTTAAAAAAATTTGTCTATCCTCTTCATAAAAAACAAGCATTTTGCCGATAAAATTTTGT